CCCCCCAAAAATGCCACGTTCCCAACTAATTCCATGGGATCCCATGGGGTTCCTGCTTTAAGGAGTGCCTCACCCCACACCTCCTTGAGCTCTGTCCAGCCAAGTTGCTGTATTATGACACAACTTGCTTTTTAGGGATCCCCCTCCACGTCTTGACCCTGGTGGCATTCGCACTTTTCCCTTGGCATCCCGAGGTCCGAGCACATGGACCTTGGCCTTTATTCCATTTTTAGCCATTTCCAGAGCTCCTTTTCCCCCCTAGGTATTTCCTAATTCCTGTAAAACACCAGCACTAAGCAGTCCAAACCAACCAGTGAGTTTAACCCCACCACAATCTCCTTTATATTTAAGATTTCCCTCGATTAAAAACCTACTTTGACTTTTGTATCAGCGCTTGCTCCGTGCTGAAAATTCCCAACCTGGAGAAAATACAACACTCGAGCTCCCAGAGTTGTAGATGATATTAAAAAAAAAAAAAAAACAAAAAAACCAAAAAAAACAAGGTGGGAAGGAAGCTGCACACATTTTTCATCCCCCAAAAGCATCTTCAGGCAGCGAGATGAACTGGAACAGCCTCTGAACTCTCCTGAGGAGGCAGCGATTGATCCCAGGCTGGGTTTGGGATCCCCAGAGGCTGCAGGAGCCTCGTGGAACAAATCCCGTGGGATTGCTCTGCAGCAGCTCCAAAGGCACACAGAGAGGAGGGAGAACTCCTCGGCTGTGATTCCACCTGGGCTGAGGGGGCAGGTGCTGGAGGTGTCACTGAGGGGAGCTACGGGAGCTCCCCGTGTCCCAGCGTTCCCAAAAAATCTTGGCTGGGTGTGAAATGGGTCAGGGACAGCGTGGGATTGTGGATTATGGAATGGGTTAGGGGGGATAAGGGGCCTGGAAATCACCTCACTGCACCCAAATCACCTCACTGCACCCAAATCACCTCATTCCACCCCATCCCGTGGCAGGGACATCTCCCACTGTCCCAGGCTGCTCCAACCTGGCCCTGGGCACTTCCAGGGATCCAGGGGCAGCCACAGCTCCTCTGGGAATTCCATCCCAGCCCCTCCTCACCCTCATTCCTTCCCAATATCCCACCCATCTCTGCCTCCTGGCAGTGGGAATCCATTCTCCCTTTGTCCTGACCCTCCATCCAAGTTCCTCTCCCCACTGGAACACATCCAGGAGGATTCCCACACAAAGTGGACACTGAAATTTCAGGGAGCATCGCATCAGGGGTTTTAAAATTCCCCCACGCACTTCAAATGTTTTCCACTTGGGCAAAAAAAAACAGACTGGACATGGAGAAAGGTGCCTGAAAATCCTTAAGGAAGGACAGCAAAGCAGAAATCGGGAAATTTCTGTTCCCAGGACACCTTCGGCTGCAGCACCAGCCCCAGCTTTACACCACAATTCCTGGGATTCAGGAATTCCTTCTCAGAAAAGCAGGAATTCCACTTCAGGAATGACAGCCTGGGACAGGGTGGGAATTAGGGATGTCTCTGACTTCCAACATCAGCTTCCAAAAAGAGGGATCCTGCATCCTGGCTGCTCAGCAGCTTCCCAACATTTTGTCCATGATACACAAAATAATAACACACGAGGGAGAGAAAAATTCCAGTGGATTATTTGCTCTGGTGTCTAAATACCAATATCTTGGGTTTTTAAAGGATTTGTCATGGATACAACTCTGCTTCCCAGAGGATTTTACACCTTCCAGCAGGAAGAATGGAGCAGGCACACAAAACTCAACCCAAAAATGACCACAAAACTCAACTGAAAAAGCTCTGCAGGTTTGTTGATCCTGAACTCCAGGATCCATCCACTGCAGCAGCCCAAAGCATCACTCCCATCTGCCTGAATAATGTGGATTTTGTAGGATGTGGGTCCATCCATCAGTCCCATGGATCCACCAGGTAATTCAAACCTAATTTTGGGCTAATGCAGACAACCAGACTGCCTAAACCCTCAGATTTCCAGCAGAACCTTCCCAAGTGCTCTCTGGAGACCAAAATTTGGATATTAATGGTCTCTGTCACCATCAACCATCCTGCTAAAACTGGGCTACAAAGAGCAATTCTTGCCTCAAAATTTGAGATATTAATAAGAAGGAACTCCTGACAAATCCCAAAATGCAAGATCTAAAAAAAAACGCAGTTCCTGACCTACCTCAAAAGCCAAGATTTTAATAAAAATGATTTCTTGAACCACCCAAAAATTGGAGATTTTTGCAATTCATGGCCTACCTCAAAATTCAAGATTTTAATAAAAATCAATTCTTGACACACCCCAAAATTTGCAATTTTAATAATAAGCTCCCTCAGTACAAGTTTTAGCCCAAAACTGAATTTCCTCTGACTAAATTTAATTACAGCTAAGGCCTTCTGCAGGGCCCTGGAGATGTAAATATATAGGTTAAACATAGTTAAAATTCCACATCCTACTTAATTGCAGACATTTTCCACGGAACAAAATGAGTTTTTATCTTCAGCTTTTAATTATTAATAACCATGAACAATGCCACCACCTTTAAACAATAACCCTGACCTGAGAAGGAGATATTTCAACCCAAATTTCCACAGCGCTCCTGGGGGAATAAGAAACAATCCTGGGGAAATTCACGTGGATTTTGGGGCGATTTTGGAATGAGCAGGCACTGAATGCCTACCCTACCTGGATAGGGATTCATGACAGCAATTAGGATTTTTTTTTTAGTGGGGTTGTCAAACCCCTAAGAGGGACCAGCAGGATCCCTGACAGGGATTCCTGGGATTTGGAAGCCCCAGGAAAAGGGAGAGAGCCTGGATCTGGCCGACTCAGCTGAATCATAATGGCTGCATTGACATTACCTTTCCCGAACAAGGCCAACCTAAACACAGGCAGCTGCCTGGGATTTAGCAGGAGATTTACAGACAGCACCAGCTCGGAGACCTACAAATCACCACAGCACACGCAGAGCCCCGGGAACACCCCGGATCCCCCCAAATCCAGGAGTGCTCCGGGATTATTCCTATTAAAAACAACAACAAAACAAAAAAATCTTCCCAGCGTGGAGCTTCCCCGAGCCTGAGGGGCCTCCACGCTCCGGCTGCCACCCGGATCCCCTTTCCCTGGGTTTGAGGTTATTAACATCAAACATGTGATCGGCCACATGACAGGCTAAAGGCTAAAAAGGAAAAAAAAAAAAAAAAAAAGAGGAAAAAAAAAAAAAAAAAAAAATAAACCAGGCTTGGACACATCCAGAGGGGAAGGGAGAGATGGCAGCAGCGTGGTGGGTACACCTCCATGTCCGTGGATTACAACCATTCCTGGGAAATCGCTGCTTTTTTTTTTTTTTTTTTTTTTTCCAGCGGCCTGGAATGATGGAAGCCATGGCGGGAGGAGGTTTAATAACGGGGTGATTGTGTAACTTGGAGCCTCCCGGCGAAAGTTGAGGCACCCAGTGGATGTTCCCGGTGCGTGGGGACGAGGATGGCACCGGATCAATTAGGGCAGCGAAATGTGCATCCCCCTCCAAGCCTCCTCCTCCTCCTCCTCCTCCTCCCGATCCAGGAGTTTCTCCGCTAACGTATTTCTCTCCTCATTAACTGCTTCGGTGTCTTCTGCTCTTTCCAAAATAGTACCTACTATAACGGGGCCGCACTGGGGGCCAGCTGGCACCGGCCGCGGGGCATCCGGACACCGAGCGGGGATTTGGGGGAGGAAAAGACACGGGGGGCTGGTGGGATGAGGGTATGGAGGGGTCTCATCGCCCCTTCCCCCCAAATCCTCAGGGGAACCCCATTCTACGCAAAGCAGGGGCTCAGCACCTCAATCTGGGGATGAGGATTTTGGGGGTGTGATTGTGATGAGGTCCGTGCCAGGATGGGGATCCCCCTCCCTGCCCCAACAGGGATGTCCCCGCTGCTGTCACCCCTCCCTGTCACCGCTGTCTCCTTGGCACAGAATGGAGGGAGGGGGCTGCATCCTCTAGGGCCAGGGGGGCTAAAAAAAGCCCCCCACCAAACAGAGATGCTCCCCAAAACAAAGGCCCTTCAGCTCCTCTGCAGAGGCTTCTGATAGAACGGGGGGTGTCCCCCCAGTCTGACCCCTCTGCCTTAAGAGGGGGTGTCCCTCTGGATCCCCCCCATCTCCAGCAGCTCCAGGCCTCCCCCTTCCCTTTCCCTCTCGGGGATGACCCCCCCAAACCACGCTCTCCCTGATTTTCCAGCCTCCTCCCAGTCTGGGGGTGTCCCCCTCACTCAGGGGATGACCCCCCAAAATCAGAATCCTCCTTAAAGGGGGGTCACCCACCAGAACACCCCCTCCTCACCACTCCAGCCATCCCTGCGCCCCCGGCCCCCTCCTTTAACGGGGTTACCCTGCCAGAACAAACTCCCTCCCCCGAAATCACCCTGTCCTCGCCCTTTTTCGGGGCTCCCCCAACCTGGGGACCCCCCCCTCAAATCAGACTCCTCTTCCAGAACAGGATTCCCCCACCCAAACCAAGCATCCCCCCCCCCTTTCTCCGGGTTTCCCCAGCTCGGAGGGAGAGGGGGGGACTCCGCTAATCTGGGGACCCCCCTACCCAAACCAGGCATACCATCCCTTATTTCTCGGGAATATCCCCCTAAACCAGGCTCCCCCTCCTCCCATATCACGCTTCCCCATTCTCCTTTCTCCAGCTTCCTCCAACCTAGGGGACCCCCCAAAAATGAGCCTCCCCTCCTTTCTTAGGGCTCCCCCAATTTGGAGACACCCCCATTTAACCACGCTGGCCCTTCTTTTCTCGGGGCTCCCCCAGCCCGGCATCCCCCTAAAACCACGCTTCTCCCTCCCTTTCTCCGGCCTCCCCTAAACCAAGTGCCCCCCCCCACAAACCAGGCACATTCCCCTCCTCTTTTTCGGGCCACCCCCAGCCTGGCGACCCCCCTCAAAATTTCGCTCGCCCCAAATTTCTCGTGTCCCCCCCCCACCCGCACCCCGCGCGCCCCCCGCGCAGGCAGGGGGCGCCCTCGCCGCCCCCTCACCCTTGACGATGCGCTCGGTGGTCGGCAGCTTGTTGTGGCCGCGCCCGGACATGGTGGTGGCGGCGGCACCGGCACCGCTCCCCCGCCGTGCCCCGCTCCGCCGCTCCCCTCACCCGGAGCGGGGGCCGCGCGGGTGCTCCCGGCGGACCCGCTGGGCTGCCCCGGCCGGCGGCGGCTCCGCGGCGC